AAAAAAAATCACTTTATTTATCTACATGTGCTATCACAGAATTGTAAACATGCAAATGTATTGTTAAATTATTGACATATTAACTTATATCTCAGCGATACTGCAAGTAAATATTTTAGGTCAAAGGTGTTCGGCTGACAAAAACCGTTTGGGAATATCAGGTCAAACAAGTTTAATACTGACTGACATTACATGGCTTTACAAAACAATAAGGCAGATAGTTGACAGGTTTAATTCAACACCAAATGATACTTGCATTCAGCTTGATAAAGACCGGGACTTGATTTTATCTACAGGGATTTGATCGGTTTATGATATTACTGGTTAATATTTCATATCATATTACAACAGCCTTGATTACCTCACTTCATGTGCTGAAGGTTATTAGATTCTGATGAAAGATTTTAAACAAAGTCTTTTTCTGTTGCAAAATAAGACCAGGAACATTTATTAAAAAGTGTCATAATTTCCTGCTGTTTTTAACTCTTTCCCCACCAGCGTTTTTGCTGATTTTCACTAAAATGTCATGGCCCCCAGAATATTTAGTTGTATGAATATCTGAACATGCAATACATCAATATAAAGATCAGACCCTCTACTTTCAAACAAAAAAAATGTTTTATTCTAGCTTCAAGCATTGTTTTTTTATCAACACTTGAATGTAGGTAGGTTTCATAAAAAAGCAACATTGTGAGCAAAAAGCTGAGAAAATCTCATTTTTATCAAATACTACATCTGCAGTTTTCATTTATATGCGGTTCGTATTGACGATCGCATTATTTTTCATATTAGTAATGGCCACTTTTGAAGCACTGCTTCGTGAAGCTTCGAATCTTTTGTGAATCATTTGTTTCTAGACAGTGATTCGGAGCGCATACCAAACTATATATATACACATTTTCTGAAGAAAAAGTGAGTGGTGCTTGCCATGGCAAAACTCGGCAGTCGGTTGCATGAGACTATCTATTCAGTTGCTAGGTTGGCATGAGTGGTTTCCAGGGTACTGCTAGGCAGTTGTTAGGGTGTTCTGGGCGGTTGCTAGGTCATTGCTAGGGTGTTCTAGGTGGTTGCTAAGGTGTTGCCTTGCCAAGCACCCCGATTACCCTAGCAACCGCATAGCAACACCCTAGCAATGGCCCTGGTTACCCTAGCAACCACATAGCAACACCCTAGCAACCACCCTGATTACCCTAGCAACCGCATATCAACAATAATAATAATAATAATAATAATAATAATAAAATAAAACAGAATCTGAGAAAAAATAAAACGTACTTCATAAGCCCCTAAAAGTGTACATTTTGTTAACTTTTAATAAATTGCTGGTAAACTGTGCAAGCTTCATGATTTTAATTAATTAGTCATGCTTTGTGATTACTAAAATTACTTTTGATTCATAAAATACTAAATGTAACTATTAATACACAGTCCAGAAAAAATTAAAACCAAAAAAATAGAATGCAGAAAAATGAACAAGTGGCAAAAAAAAATTATAATAAAATAAAACAGATTTGGGGGAAAAAAATTAAACAGAAGGCCCTATAAACATGTATTTATGTTTATTAATTTATGTACATTAATCTTGCAAAGTTCTTCAATTACAAAACAAATTCGATCCAACTATAAACTAAATTCAGTTCAGTGTTGATTAAATTCAGTGGATTCAGTTTTGTTTTAGTTTTATTCAATAGCTGTGTCAATGCTGCAAAGTTGATTGAAAAGACAATACTGTCATTATTCAGCTCAATTCAGTTCAATGCTGATTCAATTCATTTCAATTATAGTGTCAATTTTGCCAAGTTCATCAATTATGAAAAATCTATTTATCTAGAGTATAAAGCAGCTCTACAGAAGATAACAGCCTCATTATTCAACTAAATTCAGCTGGAGTTTTGTTCCCACCCGAGAGCGTCAGCGCAGTCATATGGATAATATTAGTAGTAGTATATTTTTATTCAATGCCATGTCAGCATCAAAGGCTATTTTCATGCCAAAAACTATTTTTGGCTATTGCTACAAATATACCCCAGCGACTTAAGACTGCTTTTGTGCTCCAGGGTCAGTGAGCAAAAAGCTGAGAAAATCTCATTTTTATCAAATACTACATCTGCAGTTTTCATTTATATGCGGTTCGTATTGACGATCGCATTATTTTTCATATTAGTAATGGCCACTTTTGAAGCACTGCTTCGTGAAGCTTCGAATCTTTTGTGAATCATTTGTTTCTAGACAGTGATTCGGAGCGCATACCAAACTATATATATACACATTTTCTGAAGAAAAAGTGAGTGGTGCTTGCCATGGCAAAACTCGGCAGTCGGTTGCATGAGACTATCTATTCAGTTGCTAGGTTGGCATGAGTGGTTTCCAGGGTACTGCTAGGCAGTTGTTAGGGTGTTCTGGGCGGTTGCTAGGTCATTGCTAGGGTGTTCTAGGTGGTTGCTAAGGTGTTGCCTTGCCAAGCACCCCGATTACCCTAGCAACCGCATAGCAACACCCTAGCAATGGCCCTGGTTACCCTAGCAACCACATAGCAACACCCTAGCAACCACCCCGATTACCCTAGCAACCGCATAGCAACACCCTAGCAATGGCCCTGGTTACCCTAGCAACCACATAGCAACACCCTAGCAACCACCCCGATTACCCTAGCAACCGCATGGCAACACCTTAGCAACGGCCCTGGGTGCCCTAGCAACCACATAGCAACACCCTAGCAACCACCCTGATTACCCTAGCAACCGCATATCAACACCCTAGCAACCATCCCAGGTACCCTAGCAACCGCATAACACCCTAGCAACCACCCTGGGTACCCTAGCAACCGCCCTAACAACCACCCTGGGTACCTTAGCAACCACATAGCAACACCCTAGCAACAGCCCAGAATACCCTAGCAACCACATAGCACTGTGGTGTACAGCATGTGTTAGTTGAGCAGGGCTCTCACCAGGTTGTAGATGCCGAGCAGAAGTGCCTCGATGCAGCCGCTGCAGTGAGGATCTCGCGCCGCCGTCACCAACAGGTAACTCCACACCAGCTCCGGCAGAAACTGCAGAGTGAAGCGCTGTAAACGTGGCTCGCCGCTGCGGTAAAACTCGAACAACTGATGACACACCGGCTCCAGCAGCTGACACACACAAACACATCCCCGTTACAAACTGGTGCACCACTACACCAAACACAAATCTGATTTAAATACAATACAAACAGATTAAAACAGGATTTTAGAAGAAATCATTTATACACAAAAAAGCTATATATATATATATATATATATATATATATATATGTATGATTTTTCAATATATCTTAAATCAAATTTATTTTTAGTACCTCACAAATAGTTTTGTTTTGTTTTAAGCACAAATCTAACCAAATTTAGTGCTTTGTGCTTACCCTGGGTACCTTAGCAACCACATAGCAACACCCTAGCAACAGCCCAGAATACCCTAGCAACCACATAGCAACACCCTAGCAACCGCCCCAGGTACCCTAGCAACCACATAGCAACACCCTAGCAACCACCCCAGGAACCCTAACAACTGCATAGCAACACCTTAGCGTATCAAACTGCCAAAGTCACATGATTTCAGTAAATGAGGCTTTGTTACGTCATAACCGTTTCAAAACATTTCGAAATTTCAAAGGTTTGCCGTTCCCCAATGGCGAACCAGCGTCTATGGTTTTTACTTGATCTCGGATCAGTTTCATCAATTTGAAGACATTTTTAATTGTAATTTGTGTAATTAAAAGGATGAGTGGTAGTTAATAGTCTCTTACTGGCCTGTTTAGACAAGCTCTCCATAAAACAAACTAAACAAGCCCTGCAAATTAATAATACTTACTTTTTTTTTTTTTTTTAAGTAATTCTCTGTGAAAACTCTTTGCTAAAACCTTTTCCTGCTATTTAGGAGGACTCTTAGTGCTAAGATCAAATGTTTTGTGAATACGGGCCCTGATCGGTAAAGCTGGCCTCCTTCAGTCCGTGTTGAGACATCTGCAGGACTGAGAGAAAGACAGATTTCAGAGACGCGCTGCGACAGAGCTCGCCTTTCAGAAAGCAAACAGCGTATCACTTCTACACAGAGCCAAAGAGACTCAGTCTGGATTCCTGACTCTCTCAATCACTGCATGACTTCTTCCAACTGCAATCCAGCCAGATCCACATGCAAACACGGCTCTCGTTTGTAGCTTTGTGGTTTGTTATGATGTGATTTCCCAGCGGTGCCTTGCAGACTGGATTACAGGATGTCTAGGCTTTTTTTTTTTTCTGTTAAAAACAGCTTTAAAATGTTCAACAGAACAGAAAACAGGGTTTGAGATGTGTTTTGAGTCGCTTGCTTCTTAAAAACAAACACAAAACACTGGAAAGGCATCAAGGCATGCTGAGGGCCCTTAGAATTTCATTTAAACTTTTGTTTTTATTTATTTATTTATATAATTTTTTTTTCTAAATTCCCCCGTCCATTCCCCCCAACACACATTTTTCTTAATTCCATTTTTTTCCATTTAAATTTTTCTGGACTTTGTTTTAATGGCTCAATTAAATTTTGATAATCAGAAAAGCATGTCTAATTAATTGAAATCATGAAACGTTTACAATTTAATAACAATTACTTAATTAATTTTTTAATTACATTTCAGGGCCCTATGAAATATTTTTTTTTTATTACATTTTATTTTTTCCAGAATTCTGTTTTCTGTTTAAAATGAAAATTTAAAATGAATCATAAAACATGTCTAATCAATTGAATTCATAAAACTATAATAACTTCATTTATTATTTTTAATAAAACTACGGCCTTTTAATTGTTTCCAATTTTTGGTATAAATTTTTCTGTATTCTATTTTTTATTAAACAGAAAACAAATTACATTTGTTTTATTTATTTTTTTATTCCTTTTATTTATTTATTTAATTTTCCAATAAAAAAAAATTCTGGGCTTCTGGTTTAAATTAATTGGAATCATGAAACCTATACAATTTAACAACAATGTATTAAAAAAATTAGCACAGTTTACATCTTCAGGGCCCTATGAAATACGTTTTATTTTTATGCCAATTCCATTTCATTTCTCTCAAACTCTGTGTTTTCAGTTTTCATTTTTGAATAATCCACTAGGCATAAAACATTAAATGAATTAACCTTTGAAAATGTATTCAACTGAAAACTAAATTCATTTTATTTTTGGCAAACAAAGTGCTGCAAAACAGAGATTTACTGCTAAAATTAAAACATGGAAATACAATCATATTATTATTACTTATATATATATATTTATTTATTTTTCACAATTTCTTGTGAACATTGCATGTGCATATTAAAATAAAAGCAAAAGGAGCAGAAACACTCGAGTACTTAGTTGATGTTAACTAGTATTATATATATATACTAGTACTACTAGTTATACTAGTACTAGAGTGCTATTTGCTGAGTGAAGATAATGACATTAATCACATTACTAATGGAAGAGCTTCAGACTTTATCAGTACATTTGTGAAGTCTGAAATATGTGACTGATTACAGTAAAACGTTTGTTGTTAAGAGATTCTTGTGTGATTGTGTCATTGGTTTCGCTGGTATATAGACACACCCGTCCTACAGAAAACACCTCATCATTCATCACTGTGATGTTATGCTGCCATGGCAACAGACCACGTGATTATGATGATGAAACGAGCTCATACTGTAATAACTCGCGCTGACAGAAATAGACATAGATATTCTGGTTATTTAAATCCTGACGTCTCTGAGTTTGATCATGAGATCAGAAAACACATTTGCACTACTTGAAAACTTTGCAGCTATTTGGAAATGAAGAGCTGGCAGACAAGAGCAAAAATGGTTTGACCTTGGCCAAAAGACGTAGCTGAAAAAAACTAGTTTTACCCACGGTGTCAATTTGTTTATCAAATTTCAGGCTACTATCAAAAGTCACACAGAGCTTTCTGACAGTTGGTCTAAGCTTTGAAGTCAGCGCATTAAAGTCAGAACTTACAGACTCTCCAAATAAAATATATTCAGTCTTTTCTTCATTTAGATGAAGGAAATTTTGCTCGAACCATAGTTTAATGTCATAAATGCAATCAATTAGCGACCCAGCTGTGTCAGCATTTTTTGGTCTCATAGGCAAATTAATTTGCAACTCATCAGCATAGCAGTGAAAAGCTATATTATGCTTGGTTATAATGGACCCGAGAGGCAGCATGTAAAGTGAAAATAAAACAGGCCCGAGAATAGAGCCTTGTGGCACCCCGCAAGAGAGAGAAGTGGTGGAGGAGTCCCCAATCACTACAGAAAAGGTTCTATTGGTCAAATATGACGAGAACCACTGAAGTGCAGTACCCCGAATGCCAACAAAAAGGGATTAAGGCGAGACAGAAGGACTTCATGGTCCACTGTATCAAAGGCCGCCATGAGATCAAGTAGCACTAGAATAACAGGGCACTTGGCATCAACAAACCGAGCAATATCGTTGTGCACCTTTAACAGTGCAGACTCAGTGCTATGTCGCGATCTGAATCCAGACTGTAATTTCTCAAAAATAGAGTTATTTTCTAAAAAAATAATGTAATTGTATAAAAACAAAATTTTCTAACACTTTTTAAAAGAAAGGGCAGGTGGGAAACTGGTCTGAAATTAGACAAGACTGAGGGATCCAGATTTGGTTTTTTTAAGAAGAGCATGTTTGAAAGCAGCAGGGACAGATCCTGAGCTAAGACGTATATTAATGAAAGCCAACAGAAAAGGCCCTACAGTGGTAAAAACCTCTTTTAGCAATTTGGTTGGAACAAGGTCCAAGGGGCAATTTGTAATTTTCATATGTTGCACTACTTCATTAAGGAATGATAGTGAAACCGGTTCAAACTGTTTAAACGCCACAGAATGTGCTGCAGCGACAGGTAAGTCAGATCCAGTGTTCTTACTCGTGAGTTGTCTGACAGACTCTACTTTATTAATAAAAAAGTGAAGACAATTTTCACAAGTGTAGACTGAGGCATCAATCAGAGGACAGGTACGTGAGTTCACAACGGAATTAATTGTGTTAAACATCACCCTGGGACAATGGCCACTATTGGTGATAATATTAGACAAAAATTTCGACTTTGCCTCCTTCAAAGCCCTCTGATAATCAGAAAGACAGCCCCTTAATATTTCCAGAGACACATGTAATTTGTCCTTCTTCCATCTCCGCTCTGCCTGTCTACAACGCTGCCGAAGGGCACGGGTGGCATCATTTATCCAGGGATCTGCTCTTAGCTCAGGAGATCTGCGCTTATAAGGAGCAATAGAGTCCAAGATTCCAGAACAAGTGGAGTAAAAAGATGAAAGAAGGCCATCAGGGCATGCAGGAAAGACAGATTCATGGAGGGCACAAAGTTTAGAGTCCATAAAAGCAGCAGTAAACTCTTCAGCTGTTGAGGAGGTGAGAACGCGACGATAACATGGTGAAACAGGAGACCTGCTGGCTGTTGATGGTGGGACTGGAAATTCAATAGTAATGGGGAAGTGATCTGAGATGGCAGTCTCAGATATTTCAGTAAGGGAGATAGAGAGCCCATGAGAAATAATAAGGTCCAAAGTGTGTCCAATAAGATGTGTGGGTCGATCCACTAACTGAAATAAATCAAAAGATGTCAGGAGTCGTTTAAAATCAGTGGCCAACTGATCAAACGGACAGCAAACATGGATGTTAAAATCCCCACAAATCAGGAGTTTTTCATATTTAGGGACAACATCAGCTAAAAACTCTTGAATAAAATTCTTGTTGTATTTAGGTGGACGGTAAACAACAGCACATAACACAGGGCATGTAAACTCAATTAAAAATAACTGTAGTTCAAAACAAGAATAATTATTTATAGATAGAAGTCGGCATTTAAAATTGTCTTTGAAGACAGTAGCCACGCCTCCTCCGCACCCAGACACTCGCGGGGAGCTGAAAAAACAGCCCCGAGGTGGGAGGAGCTCTGTGAAGACGCTGTTGTCACCTGGTTTAGCCCAGATTTCCGTCAACAAGAGAAAATCCAAAGAGTGAGAAATAAAAAAAAAGATAGTTTTCTTCAAACTTCTGTTTAAATGTTTGAAAAATAAAAATAAAATTATAGTAGTATATTAATATATTC